GAGATATATATACACACATACAGAAAGCATAAACAGGGTTCTGTATGTGTGTATATATATCTCCTCAATATATGTTCCATTCTATATGCATCCGAAGAAGTGGGCTGTAGTCCACGAAAGCTTATGCTCTAATAAATTTGTTAGTCTCTAAGGTGCCACAAGTCCTCCTGTTCTTCTTTTTGCGGATACAGACTAACACGGCTGCTACTCTGAAACTTTATATTTCAGAAGACAACAAATAACAGCAGGTCAGCAAGGCCCCAGAGATTTGAATTTTGTATTTGAACAAAAGAGAGAACATTAACAAGTAAAGGTTCTTACATAATTCCATGAATCCACCCATACTGCACCTATGTACCAATTTTGCTATTACTTACTACAAGACTAAGTGAACCCTACAAGAATCACATAATACATCTATGCTTGCTTTGCTACATCTCCCACCCAGGCACAATCCATTCACTCACTCTTAGCATGATGATGGTGGGAACGGAAAAAAAAAAAGATATTCGCCCATCGACAAATACTACATCTATCTCAGATGCAGCCACACATAGCAAGATGTCGGTGGTGGAAACCATGATTGCAAATGTGTAAAATCTGTAACCATATTAAGGAGAGACATCAACAGGACATAACCCAGCCTTTCTTCCCCTCAGTGTTTTGTTTTGATGATTTGTGTCTAAGAACTTGAAAATGGAAGGTATTTATCTCTTCTGAATCTACTTACTATCACTTTGAATGTGTGTAATTTATTGTTATTTTGTACCTCTTTAAAAGGAAAAAGGATGGAATGGTGGGAATGGAATAGTCTGTGTCAGTTGAAATTTTACAATTGTTCCCCAACTCTTGGTCCTTAGAAAGTTAGGCCTTTGAAGTTCTGCAAATAGGGACAAATCTGACTAATTGGGAGGCCATCAGGGTATTCCTCTCAGTCAAGAATGACACAACAAAAATTCTGAGCTGATTGGAATTTTGAGGGGCTAGTTGTCTCCTCTGGACAGCTTACAGTATGTGTTGAGATTTGGTAGATTAGTGAATACAAAGAAGAATAAAGGGGAAAGAGGGAATGTAATAGAATAAGTATCCTTGTAAAGAAGAGAAAAATAAAAGAACATGACAGAGAAGATATTTTTACCTACCAGTCTGTGTGTAACTAGAACTGAGGGAGAAAAACACACACTGAAAGATTGTAGGGAAAAAGTGGAAAACTCTTAATAGATATTGATAAGGAGACAACTTGAAATGTTTTACTGTAAATAAGTTTGGTACAGTCCTCATCTGGCTTGGGAGGGGTTGAATGGATTATGGTTGTTCACGTTATTTTAATAATCTTTTGATTTAGCCTTATTTTCTCCTACACTGTTAGTAAATAATGTTATCCTAGGTCTTGTTATCCACTGAGAGTACTATTTTTAAGTACAAGTATAAAATGCAAACCTTAGAAAGGAGTGCGGGGGAAGGCAATGGTGAGAGTGAAAGGGAAAAATACATTTTCTGTCTAGGAATTTACTTTATGTTTAAAGTCAGGAGAAGTGGGGTGAATTGCCCTGCTTTCTATCTACAATTAAACTGTTGCCTGTATTAACTTTAGCTATTGGACACTCTCTGATATGAATGAGGCCATATTCTTACATCCTAACACTGGGACAGTCGAGTTTTTGCCCAGCTGAGGACTGACTACACTGGACCATTGAAAAGCCCAAGCTCCAGTTTCAACTACCCGCCCCTTGTGCACTGATGTGGCCCTTGAAGACTACTATTCCTAGCATGCAATGCTTCCACCGCCTGCAGAGTATTGAATGCTGGGATCTGTAGTCTTCAGATGGAACTTTGGCCACGTCGAACACCACTTCTTCCGCCTCTATACGTTGCGCACGCGCTCTTCTTTCCTTCCCCCCCGAACCGCTCCCCGTCTGTCTCTTCCAGCTCACGCGCCCCCTGCTGCTTCAGCAGAGGCTGCGCGTGATTGCTGGGCCGTGAGGCCAAGTCTAGCGAGCTGTCAACGGACGGGGGGAGGGCGGAAGAAGAGAGAGGGGAGGAAGCGCGCATGCGCCGGTTGGGTTCTGCCACTGCCATCGTGCCCGCGGCGAGGTTGGCGTTTGATCGCAGTGCGCGCGACCGCCGCGGGGGTTGAGTCAATTCTTGGAGAAAAAGGGGGAGAGGAGCACGCGCGCCCACGGAGGGGGAACGAGGCGGCGGCCGCTCGGTCCGGACCTCAGCCGAGTTCGGCCAGTCCTGCTCCCCCTCCCCGGCGTGAGCGAGCGGCGCCTCTGCCCGGCTCCTCCTCCCCTCCCCCCGCGGCAGCGAGCGAGCGAGCGAGATGGCGGCCGCTGGGACTCTGGCTAAGCACGAGCAGATCTTGGTGCTCGATCCGCCCACCGACCTCAAATTCAAAGGTACGAGCGGTGGGGGCCGAGTCGCCCGGTGCCGAGAGGCTGCGGGGTGGGTGGGAGCCGGGCCCGGGCTGCCCCTGCGTGGGTATCGACTTCCCCGGGGTCGCGGCGGCGGCAAGGCCCCGTCCCGGTCTCCCTGCGGAGCGGAGAACCAGAGCCGGTGACCGGGACGCGGCTCCGCCGCCGCCATCTTGAGATCCCGCAGGGAATCGTGTGTCTCGGGCCCGGCTGGCGCCGCCTCCGCGGGCCCGGCTCCGACCCAGGCCGCTCCCGGGGAGAGGCGGGCAGGTGCCGCAGCAGCCGCCCCGCGCTGCATGCCGCCCCCACCTAGTGCCTGGAGCGGGGAGCCGGGCCCCTCCGCCCTCCCGCCGGGAGCGGCTGCGCCGCAGCCAGGCCCTTAAACCTCCCCAGACTGCCCAGCCGAGGGGACGGGGCAGCCCGGCCTCCATCGTCCGGGAACTGGTGGGGGACGCGCTGCATCTCTGCCCTGTCCGCTCTCGGGGCGGGTCTCTGGGCACCGGCGGGAGTGACGGGGGGCTCAGAGCGGGGATTGTCCCCCTACCCCAAACCAAAACCTGCGTGGTGCGTCTTCCCCGGGGAGCAGGTAGGAGAGGCCGGGGGGAAGGGGGATGCTGCATGTGTGAGGAGAGACGCTCCCCCTTTCCCAGGGTGTCCTCAAGTCTATTTGTTCCCTGTCCGTAGGCGCGCTCTGCTTGCGACTGGGTTAAGTCCAGCTGTTAACAAGGGTTTGTAGCGGGGAGGGAGTGGTGCTATTTTGCACCATTATCTGCTGGTATCACTAGGGGATCTGCAACGGCACGCTCCTTTCCCAGATGGAGTTTGACCCTTTTGGGAGGGCAGATGACACGATGCTGGCGTCTTTCAGAGCAGTTTTAGGTTAATCCTTCAGAGTGTCTCAGCAGGCAGTTCATTAACTTTTGGTAATGAAGAAAAGGAATGTGAGAATTGCAAAAGCTTCTGTGTGTCAGATATTTATTTGTGGGGAGCTCGCTATGTAGTCTTACTAAGACTGGCTTAAAACAGTTCCGTTAAAATAGGCTCTGATTAATTACGCTGTTCTCTGATAAACCCCAGCTTTAATAGCGAGGGGGGTTCTGAACAGACACGCATTCAGTTGCTAGGACGACAGGCCCCTTGGAAGGTGAGGACCAAAAGAAAGTTGTGCTATGGTAGTCATAATTATGTGGTAATTTTCAGTGCCCACAGATTGACAATGGGCATTAAGTGAACAATTTATTAGTTAAAGCTTTTACTCTGAAACAAAACTGTTACTGTTAATTTGGGAAAATATAAACAAACCTAATTGCATAAATAGAAATTCCTTAATTCTTCAAATAGCATCAGCAGTTCTTGTACTTCTTAGCTAATCCTTTAATCTTTCTTTGTATTTAACTTTTTACTTTTAACCGTGTTAATTCTTCACATTCATTTTCTATGTATAGTATTTTGGGGAGCAGGGCAGTCTTTTCTTGTGTTCTTTGGGAAATTTTAGAATCATTTTGGTGGCTTATTTGTAGGACCCCTTTAAATGGGCAAGTAGAATAAACTGATGTGATCTTGTATCTTACAGAGAACAACTGTGTTCCTGAAAAATAGCTTTAGGTAGCCCACATTTTCTCAACAGTGCTTAAAGCTTGCTTATTAGAGAAGAGAGTTTTATAACAAACTATAATTTTCATATCAGAGATTTGAATTATTTTCTACCCATTTAGTCAATTAAAAAGAAACCTACAGGAATGCGCTCACTTTAATATTTTTAGTAGAACTTTTTTAATTGCATATTTTCTAATACACCCAAAATTGTAGAGGTTTTTTTTCTTTCTATATTGTTAAAATACTGCCAGGTTTTATAAAGTCTCTCTCAGAGTTAGCAGGCCCCAGAATTGTACATGCTCTTAGAGAATGGCTGCACTGTATTATACATTTCAATACCCTGTTGTCTCCCAAGAAGAGTAGAAAGAGGGTACACGCATGCATACTAAACCAAAGCTAGTATGTATAATTGCAGGCATATCAACCTAGAATGTCTCCCTTAGCCAAAAGTAAGCAACGTTTACTGGGTATAAACAGAACTGTTGAGATGTAAGAGATGCTGTCCTTGAATCATCATTGGATTGCAAAATCTATAGGACAGATATGAGTAAGCAAAGAAATAGTCTTAGGATGTACCCTCAGAATGGGAGATATATGAATTATTTTAAGTGTAAACTTAAACTTTATTTAGACAAGTACAGGTGCTGGGAAGACTTTTGTGGAAGGGAATATTTAAGTAGAACATGAAGCAAAATGGGGCCTTCAATGACTGTATAGAAGGACCAAACCTATTGCATTTCAGATACAGCAGGTCAGTTCACTGACTCTACATGCCATCTCAGTATGTGTACTTTTATGTTAAAATACATCAGAACAATGTGCAAGTAACAACCATGTTATGTATTACAAAACACTGTTTCTCCAATAATATAACTTAGAAAGTTGGGGGCGGGGAAGAGATTGTAAGTAATATATTCTCCTTTTATACCACTTAGACAAGCTGATAATAGGTAATGTACCTTAAAAGAGGTTCTCTTTCAAATCCAACGTGGCAAAAGTGTATTGAGTTGGTAAAAAGAATAGTGTTTTACTGTGATTGCCACTGATTTGCTGAAGTTCTTTTGATGGGGCAGAAAAGAAAGTGGTTGATTCATATAGCATTCCTAAAATCAAACACTTGATGTGCACACTAGACATCCAGATTGGGATTTTTACAGAGACCAGAACAAAAACAGGTTATTTTTTGCTCCCAAAGGATTTACTTTCTGACATTGGTGATAGTTGAATGAGGGTATAATATGTGTTAACGTACTTTGGCATAAGCAGTGAGTTGCATTCAAAAATAAGCAAGTACCAGTCTTGTCAGGAAGCTCTGAGCAGCGTCCAGTAAAATGTTCCTGGTTTTTGCTTTCTTTACAGATGAGAAAGATGGTCAGCATCTTCGCTAATTGATTTAATTACTCAGAACCTTAATCAACAATTGCTGCATAAGGTCTGAACGGAAAGGTGTTACCATTTGGGGTTCATATAGGTTAAAGAAAATATCTAATGGTGGCTGATGTATTATATGAAATATTTCCCCTCCCTTCCCCGCAATGAATGAAAGACTAGCATCCAGTATTTGTAGCCCCTAGATATTTCAGTCTTAATAGCCTCTTGCTTGCAGAGGCAAAACTAGTTTTCTCTTCTGATGTAGTGGGCAATAGTTGATCCTATGAAATTTTGGCAGTCATCAGATTTACTCATTACATGGTTGTTCTCATAAGTAGATCTCAAAACACTTGATGAAAGGAAGTATAATTAAAACCTTTTTTAACAAATGGGGAAACTGAGGCACAGAGTGACGTGATTTCCTGAATGAGCCACTGACAGTGCTGAGAATGGAACCCAGGTCACTTGCCTCTTAGTCAGATGCTTTATCCACTGAACCATACTACCTTCCTAAACCAGTGTATTCTTCCATCTATCAGCCTAAAACATTTCGTTTGTAACTTGAGATCTGAGACGGTACAGCTATAGTGCCTTGATATTTGATCGGAAGATTTGAAAATATATTATTTGCTTAAAATCCACTAGTTTGGAAAGTGGAACAGCTTCACTGTATAGTATAAGGCTCTTTCACGTCAACCATGCAGATACTGATACATTTAGTAATTGTTGTTAAAGCTCTGAATTGTCATGGGATCTCAGCATGTTCTTCATTAAATCGATAAAGGCTTTTTTTAACCTTTAAAAGGTATTTATGATTGTGAGAGTTTAATTGGAGTTACTTTTTACGTGTCAGTGCTTTTTTCTTATCTAAGAGCTGCTCCAGCTTTTAAAAATATAATTGTCAATAATAAACAAAGTATGTGTTTTGCATACACTACCTACATTTCTTCAAATGTTGTGTCAGAGTTCATCATTAACAAGTACATTTCCCAGACCTGAAGTAGAGCCCAGTGTAAGCTCGAAAGCTTGTCTGAGGGTGCGTCTATACTTACCTCCAGGTTCGGCGGTAAGCAATCGATCTTCTGGGATCGATTATCACGTCTTGTCTAGACACGATAAATCAATCCCGGAAGTGCTCGCTGTCGATGCCGGTACTCCTGCTCTGCGAGAGGAGTAAGCGGAGTCGATGGGGGAGCCTGCCTGCCACGTGTAGACCCGCGGTAAGTACCTTGTAGTTCGAACTACGTTATTCACGTAGCTGAAGTTGCGTATCTTAGTTCGAACTGGGGGGTTAGTGTGGACTAGCCCGACTCACAATAGAAGTTAGTCCAATAAAAGATGTTACCTCACCCACCTTGTGTCTCTTAATATCCTGGGGATAACTTGGCTACAACACTGCATTAACAAGTCACTCATTTTGCTAGTATTTAATAGCTGTGCTCCTGGCCATGCTGGTAAAACATTACTTCTTGTTCTAAGTCTTTCAAGTAACTATGGAATATTACACACATTTAATTTTGAGTAGTTTGTAAGTATTTATGTCACCAAATATTTTCTCACTCCTTTTAAATTTTAAAAAAATCCTTTAGTTACTAACATATCAAATTATTAAAAATGAAAAAACCTAAAATTCAGATTTTATAATGAAGATTTTTTACTTTTTCCTCAATTTGGACAATGAAAATAGATTAGTCACCTTCATTTTCTGGCTCTCTTACACTAGCATAATACTGCTGTATTAGTTGCAAACACTGCAGAGGAATGTTTAAATATAGTCTCTTCACTGGAATTTAAAAAAAAGGTATGAACATTTCTATTTACGGAGCCTGAATTTGGGAGTAATTGACTTGATAGTGGCCCTTTAAAGGATTATCAACCAGTATCTTATTTAGGGTGTATATTTAAAATAACTTATTGGCATCGCATAGGAATATTTTAAGATTTTAAAAAATGCTTTCTTTTGAGTGGGGCTTATTCTTGATTCATGTTCTTCATTGAAGATCTTGTTACAGGAATGT